GTAAAGTATCTTCAACTTGAAGGTTGAGGATAGGATAAATTTGAAGTTATTGTTTTAGAACCACAGCGTAATTTGTTGCATTGTCATGAAGGAACAGCGAATCCAGATATCCTCAATATCTTAATTAGTACATGATTTTAAATAATAGAATTGCAGAGTAAACATTTTTTCTGATATATCGAACTAGTCCTTTCTTGACTAGTTTGCACAGCTGGTGCATTTTGAGCTATTTCATGTATTTCAACCTCGTAAATAAGGGTACATGTCATAAAAGTTCTGGACAAACAGTACATACTAGTTATGCTTAGTTATGCTAGTGGAGAAGAAAGAATCAATGAAATTTGTTATACATCGCCTTTATCTCTCAAGAGGCTCCATGAAAGTCCGCATGTGAAATTGGCCATGATCTTATCTTTGCCTAATGGAATATGATGCAGTCGTTATAATTGTCATTTTCTGGAAAACGAATGGTTTTCTGAAGTTGTGGAAATTTTTGTGGTATAGTCATTTATATTCCTCCAAGATTGATATCTGATCCTGTAATTTAATCTATAGAATGCAGTCGTTATAATTGTCATTTTTCTTGAAACTAAATGGTTTTCCGAAGTTGTGGAAAATTTTGTGGTATAAAAGTAATTTTATGTTCCTCCAAGATTGATACCTGATTGATGGGGTCTAAATGATGTTCAAAAGTTGCAAGTGCACAACCAATCAAGTTATAGTATAAAAGTTATCGATCCCACGAGAAAGGTGTTGTAAGAGATAATTAAAATTAGTTCTTATGTCGTGTGCGTGACAATTAGGAGTGATGGTTGAATATGATTAGGGAATATATGATGAGTGTTGTGATTATGAACAGTGAAATTTGAGGAGAGAGAAAACTCAAGAAAGTGAAGATGGAAGTTTTAATGAGAAATATGAGGAATCTAGAGTTGAATCCACTAGCTAATTTCAATTATAAATTATGAACTATTCTTTTTATATCATATTTTACTTTAGATTTATTAAGCATAGACTATCAAATATATTAAGAAAAGTATAACCTATCAAATTATCATCTAAGTAAAATTAATATTTATGAAAAGAACAACAACTAGATAGTAATTCTAGAATTCATAAGCATAACCTATCAAACCACTCAAGATAAACATGGATTATCAAATTCTTCTTCTATCAATTAGTTCTCTGGTTGATTATCCTACCCATGATCAATTAAAATATAAGAGAATAATTCACAAATATAAAAAAAATTAGACTAACTTCATACAATTCTAGGGTTCCTACAAGACTTAGTTTCACATCTTTAAGGAAGAAAAACAATAAAAGAAAAGAAAAGAAAACTAATTACAAAGAAAAAAATTATAAAAATAAATCTAACTAATTGTAAAAGAAAAGAGAAAGAAATCTAAACTATGCAAGAAAATAAATCTAAGCTACAAAGGACAAAATAAAATAAAAACAAGAAAATAAATCTACTCTACAATACATGAATATAAATCTAAACTACTAAAAAGAAAAGAAATAATTACAAGAAAATAAAAAGAGAAAATAAAAAACAAACCTTCAAATTGATCTTCATCTCCATCATCATCATCAAAAAAAAGAAGAAAATATGAAGAGGAAAAAGATTTTATTAATCGTAACAAAAGTTACAAAGTGAAAGGTCTTCTTAATCAAGAGTAACTCTCTTCTCTCCAAAAAGGTGTTACAAAATTTTTCACACCCTAATCCCTCATTATCTATCCTTATTTATAGCATACAACGGTGTTAATGAGAGCTGTTGGATCAAAACTTAAGCCCTAAGATAATTACAGGAACAAATGAAGAAGTTTGGTGAAAAAGAAAACAAATTATGCAAATCTGGATAGCTTGGTAACGTCTGGTGTTTTGGTCATATCTCTCTGGTATCAACTCGGATTTGGTTGAATAAACATTCTATGGAAAGCTGAGAACGAGATCTACAACTTTTGTATTTATGATATCTCTGAAATCGGAACATATCATGAGCAAATATTCGTACAAAGAAGCACAATCTGCGTTAGAATTGTCATCCGTATTTCTTCTCTTCTGTTGGGTTCGGGCTTTGGCTTTTGGCTTTGGATCTTGGTCTCTTGCTTGTTTCCTTCATTAATTCATGGGTTTGTTGAGGGAGAATATTTTTTTATTCTTCATTGACCTGCAATTAAAAATAAAAACAATTATTAGTGGTGTATTTATTCATAAAAAATAGATAATGATGGTATAAAATTGTAATAAACATATGATTATCACTGATCCTGTAATTTAATCTAGAATGCAGTACGTGGGGAACTGATTCTGATATGAAGCATTCTCTCTCTTAAGTTCATATCTCTAATAACAAATTACACTCTTATTTAATTTCAAGAGTTCCATGCATCAGCTCTTTTTCATATGCCTATTCATGAGAACGCATTTTCTGAATGGTTCTAAATGTGTAGTAAATAAGAATGGGGAGTACACAAGGACTTATCACCCGTTCATAAATGAGAGATGCCTAATATCTACATGACTACAATAGCTTAAGTTTTTCGCTTGTGGTCTATGTTATCTGGGTGTTTCTAATATGGAGCCATATCTGTCCTTGTACCCGACACGTGTCGTACCCGTATCTGAAACTTCTCGAAAACGCCTTAAGAGCATGTTTGGCAACTTTGGATTATAATCCACTTGGCTTATAATCCCAAAGTTGATTATAAGCCAATGGGTTTAAGTCAAAATGTTTGGTAAATTTATTAAATTATAATCTATTTTCAATAGTAGAGTGTTTGGTAAATGTGTGGTTTATAAGCCATTATTATTGTTAAAATGACCAAAAAATATCTAATGGGATCAATGTTTTAAATATCGGCCGATAAACTGATATTATCGATGATTTATCGGTTTTAGGGGTCTTCCGCTATGATAAGTTTGATTCTAAATCGGTTACATTTTTGGATGTTTATCGCTGATAATGCGGTGATAAAGTGAATTATTGGACGATATTATTTGCCCAAAAATCAGAATTATCGATCTTTGGTTTGAGTTTTAATTTTGGGCAACGGACACCTATTCAATGCACTTTAAACCCGACCCGACCCAAGTTTCTACCATTGGTTAGTGATCCTAAACATAATTATTTATATTTTGGTATGTTTATATTTCATTAATGGTTAGATTATATTTTAGAATATTATATTATGCATATCACTATCCGGTAATGTCACCCCGATAAATACTACTTATCCCCGATATATCCCGATATCCTCTATCCGGTATGGATTTTGACCGTCCAATAAATCCCCGATAATCGATATTTAAAACCTTGAATGTGGTTAGACAGAGGTAAAATGGGGCTTTAAATTTTTAGCATGTTTGGGAACGGGTCAAAGTGGCTTATAAGCCATTGAAATATGTTTGTCAACCGGCTCATATTGGCTTATAAGCCCAAAAAAATTAAGCTGCCCCAACCCAGCTTATTTTTTTGTTGGCTTATAAGCTGGGTTGTTTTGACCAAGTAAATGACCAGCTTACCCCTCAACATTTAAGGTAATTCTAAAACCTATGTCCTTTTTAGTCTATTTTAACGATAATGATGGATTATAATCCGCCCATTTGCCAAACACTCTCCTAATGAATGCAACTTATAATCCATTTTTTACCAAATACTTTGGTTTATAATCTACTTGGCTTATAATTCATAAATGAATTATAAGCCAAATGGATTATAAGCCAAGTTTCCAAACATGCTCTGTCAAATGTCAGGAGGTATGCTAGTCTTTTTCTTGGCCAAACATTGTGGCTTATAAGTCACCAACAAATAAGCTAGGGCACCCTAGCTTATTTTTTGGTGGCTTATAAGCCAAAATAATCCATTTGCCAAGCATGTCGAAGTAGATTATAAGCCAAAAAGGTGGATTATAAGCTACTTTGACCACTTGCCAAACATGTCTATATATATACATATATTTATTAGAATGTACTTAATTAGACAATGCATGGTTAATTTAAAACACTCTTCATATCCTACACTTCATATCCATTTTTATAACTTCTTGGATGAGAGTCGTGTTCATTTCAGCCTTAAGAGCTACAATTTAAAAGGATCGTTTACATACATAGCTGAGAACTATGATTATATACCATGAGTTTCAACGGTGTCCCTGTACCCTACCTTCTACAAATTTGCCGTGTCCCGTACCCATATAACATAGCTTATGGTTCTGCTTGAGCAGGACCATATTATATCCATTGAATCCTTCTCTTTCAGGAAAATCTCCAAACATAATCTTGGATATTGATCAAACGCTTCCATATATAAGTATTCAGTTTTATCTTTACTCCATTGCCAGTCATCACTCTTGTCTTTACTCGCTGGACTATCAATTTTTGATGTTGTATTTTCAGCTGTTGTGGTTATTATGTCCCTATATAGATTAATGATTTGGACTTTTTCATGTTTGTAATTATACTTGATGATTATTTATATTTAGGTCCCTGGATTATTGAAGATTAGACACATTGGTCAAACAACTCTGGGGAGTGCAGCAGTCTTTGGGCTCTTTTTAGGAGCTGGGAGTTTGATACATTGTGGCAAGTCTTACTGAACCAAGTTGCAGCTTTTGGGATCTCTTGTTTCCGGACGAGATCATGGGAGTTCAATTATAAACCAGTAAATCTTATCAAGCTCCTTGTATGTGTGGTTTCTTGTAAAACATGAATAATCAAAGTGTTCTTATCGAATTTTTGTTCAT